ATATGTGTCCATGGCTGATAGTTCATACCATGTGGCAAGCATTATCATATGTGTCCATGGCTGATAGTCCATAACATGTGGCATGCATTATCATATGTGTCCATGGCCTATAGTCCATACCATGTGGCATGCATTATCATGTGTGTCCATGGCTGATAGTCCATACCATGTGGCAAGCATTATCATGTGTGTCCATGGCTGATAGTCCATACCATGTGGCATGCATTATCATGTGTGTCCATGGCCTATAATCCATACCATGTGGCATGCATTATCATATGTGTCCATGGCTGATAGTCCATACCATGTGGCATGCATTATTATATGTGTCCATGGCTGATAGCTCATACCATATGGCAAGCATTATCATATGTGTCCATGGCTGATAGTCCATACCATGTGGCATGCATTATCATATGTGTCCATGGCCTATAGTCCATACCATGTGGCATGCATTATCATGTGTGTCCATGGCTGATAGTCCATACCAAGTGGCATGCACTATCATGGCTGATAGTCCATACCATGTGGCATGCATTATCATATGTGTCCATGGCTGATAGTTCATACCATGTGGCATGCATTATCATATGTATCCATGGCTGATAGTCCATACCATGTGGCATGCATTATCATATGTGTCCATGGCTGATAGTTCATACCATGTGGCATGCATTATCATATGTGTCCATGGCTGATAGTGCATACCATGTGGCAAATTTTATCATGTGTGTTCATGACCTTCAGCCTTGTGTATTACCAATTATTTGACATTCCAAGATAAGCTGGAGGATTGAAAAATTTTGACTTGTACAAGAGTTATCTTAGGGAAAATGTTGAACCTAAAGTGGAATGAATTCAAGAGTGCTAAAGAAATAAGAAATGTCTTAGCAATCATTGGTTACAACAGTTGTAAGACAAAGAAAATGGCTCTTTATTGGACACATCCAGAGAAGAAATGAGCAAAAAATCACCAAACAGGCACTCTAATAGGAAATAAAACTGAAGAAGCGGGGATGTGCAAAAAAAACTTTAAAACAAATGTTGATAAGAGAAGCCAAAGGTGCTGGCCCGGGTTTCATCCATGATTTTGAAAGGATGGCACATGATAGAACAAAATGGTAGGATAGACTGCGAGCCCTGGGTTAGTTATAATGGCACAACCTGACAATGATGATGAAGAGATAGTTTCTTTTGTGGGTTCCTGGGCCCCAGTTTAGGGAAAAGGAGGGGGGCACACTACCACCTAACAAGCATATCATAAAAGATGACGAATTAAGAGTTTTTCCTCACACTGGAAACATAAAAAATTGGGGGATACGGGAAAACCCTACTGACGAGAAAACTCCCTGCGTGGGTTCTGGGGCCCCATTGTGGGTAAAGAAAGAGTAGACCCACTTCCTGCGCTAACAAGCATGTCGTAAGAGTTGACTTATTAGGGACGTTTCCGTCAGAGTGCATATACCCGAGAGGTGAGGAACACAATATGTATACAAATAAGCCAGATCTATCAACTGGATGTGCACACAACACTCGGAACAGGACCAAAGTCTAGAAGTGGATGAACAACCACTGTAGTTTACACCTGATGGTATTTTAAGATTGGTCTGGTTTGTCTCCACAGCTTTCTCAGTCGGTGTTGATAGCAATGTTCAACCTGAACCCAGCAGAGTTCTCAGTCTTGTTGTCTGAGCTACCGAAAACATTCCAGGTGAGTGCGTTTGAATGGAGGAGGCGGCAGCTCAGGTGATTTAACTACTTTTAATTCTTTTCAGTTCAGTTTTTAGCATCAATAATCCACTCCGATATATCCATATGTGATCAGATCGCCTCCATCATAAATCAGTTAATAAATAGTGGCTAACTGTGACAGTCAAATGTTGACAAGCATTTTAGACAGGCTATTTCAGTATGTGTCCTTTCCAACAAGAACAACTTGTCCTCATCTCCTGATTAACTTAAATTTGCTAGTTTTCTCCCAAAGCTCCACATAAGTCATTCTGCAGTGCACAGACATCATCAGTTAATGATTATTTGTAGTTGTTTAACAATTCTTTTAACTATTCTTAATGATTCAGCTTGATACTACATTCCATGCAACACTACTGATTTGTAATTAGAGCTTAAAAAATAAAGTTTTACAATTCAGTCAGCTACTGTAAAACAAATAAATCTAGTGCGCACGCCAGACACTGTGTTGGCAAGGGCGAAGGGGACATCAGCTACAAGAATGAATTAAAAGTTTAAAATCGTTTTTAAAAAGATGTTTTTCTTTTCTTCCTAGGATGGTGCTACACGAATTCTCCACAGCCATATTACGTCAGCGCATGGTGGGACGACAGATGTACTGTCACCTCGAAATGTGGCCAGTCCCCCAGGTCAGAATAGGTCAAGGCCACCTTCAAGGTCAGTCTTGGTGTTTGTTGTGAAAAAGTTTCATAAAATATGGATTTTTTTTTTTAGTCTTGAGGCTTTTTCTCATGAATTCTGTGCTCAAATTTCCATTCAAATATTCTGGAGTGCATAGAAAGTTGGAATTGTGCAGGGATGGGGGGAAAATGTGGGGGGGGGGGGGGGGGGGGGGGGGCGCTGACCAGATGTAGTTTCTGAGTGTTGCACATACCAGAGTAACTATTAACATTTGCTTTAAAAAAAAAAAGCTAATGAGAGTAGAATATTAAGTGCTGCAGTTTAAAAAATAAAAAACATTTATAGTATTTGTTGATCATGTGGTGAGGGACATTGGAGACACTGGAGTCTAAGACAGGGCTATTAAACTTGCAACCCATATGCTGAATCTGGCCCACGGACACCTAGCAAATGGCCTGCGGATCATTACCAGTTGAATTAAATTAATGATTTTTCTATGCTGGAGCTCATGCCTGTGGCCTGTAACGATCATCATTTTCAAAATGTTGGCCCCTGAGTGGACTTAATTTAATAGCTCTCGTCTAAGAAAGATATCAGTATAAGGAATATCATCAGTAGATGTCTCCCCTCGGCCTATCTCTCCCTCCTCTTTCTTTCTCTCTTTTCCTGTCTTCCCTTCTTTGTCTCGCACGCACACTCAGATACACACATTCAAACTCGTGTTTGTTTGTCTGTTTGTTTGTCATTCCCACCCCTACTCTCTCTCTCTCTCTCTCTCTCTCTCTCTATCTCTCTCTCTCTCTCTCTCTCTCTCTCTCTCTCTCTCTCTCTCTCTCTCCTTCCTAATGTATCTATACCCTTCCCCTCTCTCTCTCTTTCTCTCCCTCCCCCTTTCCTCATATATCTCTCTCTACCTTTCCTTTCCCACTTTCTCTCACTCACACAAACTCTTCCTTGCCATCCTAAACAACCTAATGTGTCCTTGTTGACTTCACTGACAGATCAAGTCTGGGCATTGCTGACAACTTTGAGACAGAGAACCTCAACCCTGAAGACATCTTCAACTCAATCAAGAAGACAACAGCAGATATACAGAGCCTGAGCATCAGCAGCAAGCTGGATCCGTATGAGGACATCAAGAAGAAGCACGTCTTCACCTCCCAGGACTCTGGCATTCAGGATGTTCGGATGGACAGTCCCGATGCGACAGATCACAAAAGGGGTTTTAACTTCTCCCAGGTAACTGGACATTGCTGAGTCAAACTCCTTGTATGGGTTCTGAGATTCAAATATGGTGAAAAGAAAAGAATAGTTCCACAGTCTTTCTAACAAGCATATCATAAAAAGCAACTAATCAGAGGTTTGTCGAATCTAATTTGTTACTCCCAGAGTGCTTATATCGCAGCCTTGCTGTAAACCACAATACACTGTATCAGAGGACCTTTTTTTTTTAATGGAGTGAATGCAGAAGAAGAAATTGCGTGAACATGATAAATATTAACTTGCTGATTAGCTGTAAAAGATTAGATGGAAATAGATTTTTTCATAGAACACCCAATACACTGGAAAAACTGAAAACTGTGGAGTTTGTTCCATGCATGGGTTCTGCGTCCCCATTTTTGGGAAAAATAATAGACCTAGCACTCCCTAACAAGGGGTTGGAACACATAAGATGATGAAAGCCCCTAACAAGGGTTTGGAACACAAAAGACAAGGAAAGCCCTCTAACAAGGGGTTGGAACACAAAAGACAAGGAAAGCCCTCTAACAAGGGGTTGGAACACATAAGATGACGAAAGCCCCCTAACAAGGGGTTGTAACTCAAAAGACAAGGAAAGCCCTCTAACAAGGGGTTGGAACACAAAAGACGACGAAAGCCCCCTAACAAGGGGTTGGAACACAAAAGACGACGAAAGCCCCCTAACAAGGGGTTGGAACACAAAAGATGACGAAAGCCCCCTAACAAGGGGTTGGAACACAAAAGAGGACGAAAGCCCCTAACATGGAATTGGAACACAAAAGACAACGAAAGCCCCCTAACAAGGGGTTGGAACACAAAAGACGAGGAAAGCCCTCTAACAAGGGGTTGGAACACAAAAGACGACGAAAGCCCCCTAACAAGGGTTTGGAAAGATAAGGAAAGCCCTCTAACAAGGGGTTGGAACACAAAAGACAACAAAAGCCCCCTAACAAGTGGTTAGAAGGCAGAAGAAGAAGAAAGCCCCCTAACAAGGGGTTAGAAGGCAGATGGAATTAGTAGAGAAAGAAGATTATTATGGCCTGGAGAGAATGAGGCACCTGGGTGTAACCAGAGGGTCTGGCTGGCTCACTACACTGAGGAAAGGCAAAACGGACATATAACCAGATTGTGACCGGTACCCAGTATTGGAACTCTGCTCTGGTTGCTGAAGATGAGGACGGAGCATACATGGGAATGCCCCGAGTGCTGTGATTTCAATTCTTGACTCAACTCAACTTAAATTGCTATTGTTTACAGATTTAATTCCTGTTATTTGTTTCTGCTTCTGATCTTATCTTTAAATATTGTTTCTGTAGAAATCTGGAGGTCCAACTGGCAACATGGTCTTGCCAGGGTTATTCAACAAGAAAGATGCCAATATGTCTCCTGAGGAGGTTGGCAAAGCTCTGTGTGATATTCTGGAGGAGTTATCCAATCACAATGAAAGGTGAGTAGGATCACGACACACACAAACATGGTATTCTGCGCTTGTTGTTTCACCTGTTCATGTTTTATTTGTTTTGTTGTGATTTATGTTTGTTTATTATTGGTTTACTTATTCAAAAACAAATGCCCAAGGAAATTGATGAACATTAAGGGGTCACTACACGACATTTTCCCAATTTATGACAAAAATATTACTTTTTCATTGTGTTCGTTTTTGTAAAGTTCGGCATTCGTACAATAGATGACACAAAAAATTTATGTCATTTGTAAACAATTTAGCATTGAAAAGTTAATACTAATGACACCACCTCGTGCACTTTTTTAAGATAAAAAAAAGTTTAAAAGTCAGTTTTCTCAAATCTTTATATTTCAGTTTGCTGTGTGTGTGAAATCCTAAAATCTAAGCTAATATGAAGAGTAAAATCATCAAATTTTGTATGCATACTCCATAAACAATATTATAGGGACTGGTCTATCTAAAAATATATTTTAGAAAGTTTTTGTTTCTAAAATTTGATTATTGTCTTATGATGCCAGTTTTTTTTTTACTTTTTTAATAAACCTACATTTTAAAATTCTACGAAAAATATTTAAAAACATGTTTAAAGTAAATAAACTAGACCAGTACCTCTAAATAGGACGAAAGGTCATGGATCTATCATTTATTGTTGAACATCTATGTTTGCTTTTAATATTTAGGGATTCTAAGTACATATTGGTTTTTTTTCACAAGATGGCGGCTATTGCCATGACGACTATGATTTTTTAACACTTAAAGTATACAAATGTAATAAAATGTATCCCTACAAATGGCCATTATAAAATAACAACTCTAAGTCTGTAAATAAAAAAATAAAAATTGTTGGTGTAGTGACCCCTTAAATTAGCAGAATTTAAGATAGATGAATAAATAAAAGAAGTGTCTGGACAGCTGCTTATATCAACAGATTTAAGAATGGTAATTTATTGGGCTCATCATGAGGAGAAGTGTCGAGAGAATCACCTAACGTTCACTGAAATCTAAAACATTGTCAGTGAAGTCATAAAGGACATATGAGTTTGTTCACAGGGGGCAGGGGTGAGTTTGTTCACAGGGGGCAGTGGTGAGTTTGTTCACAGGGGGCCAGGGGTGAGCTTGTACTCAGGGGGGCAGGGGTGAGCTTGTTCACAGGGGGCAGGGGGGAGCTTGTTCACAGGGGGGCAGGGGGGAGCTTGTTCACAGGGGGCAGTGGTGAGTTTGTTCACAGGGGGCCAGGGGTGAGCTTGTACTCAGGGGGGCAGGGGGGAGCTTGTTCACAGGGGGCAGGGGGGAGCTTGTTCACAGGGGCCAGGGGTGAGCTTGTTCACAGGGGGGAGCTTGTTCACAGGGGGCAGGGGTGAGCTTGTTCACAGGGTTGCAGGGGTGAGCTTGTTCACAGGGGGCAGGGGTGAGCTTGTTCACAGGGGGCAGGGGTGAGCTTGTTCACAGGGGGCTGGGGTGAGCTTGTTCACAGGGGGCAGGGGTGAGCTTGTTCACAGGGGGCAGGGGTGAGCTTGTTCACAGGGGGCAGTGGGTGAGCTTGTTCACAGGGGGCTGGGGTGAGCTTGTTCACAGGGGGCAGGGGTGAGCTTGTTCACAGGGGGCAGGGGTGAGCTTGTTCACAGGGGGCAGGGGTGAGCTTGTTCACAGGGGGCTGGGGTGAGCTTGTTCACAGGGGGCAGGGGTGAGCTTGTTCAAGGGGGGGGGGGGGAGCTTGTGCAGTGGGTGGGGGCAGGGATCAGCTTGTTGGGGGGGGGGGGGGGGGGGGTAGGGGTGAGCTTCTTCAGGAGGACTAGATTCCATCCCTAATAGTGAAAGGATTGCACAGGAATGGAGGACCAGAGACCCATGTGACATAGCACAGCAGGATGATCGATTGTTTACCTGTGGTATAACCGCTAGATGCTTGCCTGTGGATCAGAAGGACGTTGGTTCGAGTCCTGACGGACCCTGCTTTTTTCAGGGACAAATAAAAAATAACAATAAAAACACTGCCTTGACTCCCAGGTGGACCCAGCCTTGAGTGGGGACCAGGTATAGTCCTGGGAAGTAAAAAATGGGCAGCGTAGTGTTGACCACATCACCCACTGAATGTCCTTTGGTCTGTAAAATGTAGGTCTAGCCCTGTATGCCTGAAGGTGTGGAAAAAGGTCTTTTGCAATATTTCCTCAGCTTCTCATCAGAAAACTGTCTGTAGTTTTTATTGATGTTAAATATAATTGCAGTAGATTATACTAAAAAACGTTAAAGACGATTGAATTCTTCTTGTTCTTCACATTTGCCTGCAGTAAACTCCAGCGGAAAGTACTGGTTGTTCCTCCACTTCTGGACTTTGGTCTTGTTCTAGAACTTGAGTTTTGTGTGCACATCAGTTTTACAGATCTGGCTTATTTGTGTGCTGGTTTTTATTGTTCATATATTAAAATTAAAAGACCCTTTTCCACGTCTTCAGGTGTATTGGGCACATAGGGCTAGACCTGTTTTTTATGGACCAATTGGGATTCGATTGGTGATGGGATCAACATCACGCCTACCGCCTTTACTTACCGGGACTTTACCTGGTACCCACTCAAAGCTGGGTCAACCTGGGAGCCAAGGTCATTTTGAAAAAGGTCCGGTACCAGCAGGACCCGAACGCAGGACCTTTCAATCCGCAGGCAAGCCTCTAGCTGCTTCACCGCGGCAGTTTCCCTGTTCATTTATTGGTTCTAACAATTTAGGGTTTTAAATATGTGATGGTAAAATGATTTTTGGTCGTTTGTGGGAGAAATGACTTGTTAATTCTTAATGTTTCTGTCAGAGTCGAACAAAGGAAAAGTGCCATGCAGTTTCTGCAGAATTTTACAGAGAAAGGTCTTATCACACAAGACTTGCTGGACGAACACTTCAAATCCTTGCTTCTGATTCTTCTAGAAACACTCGGAGACACAAATGTGAGCTGCTGTTGACTCTGTGCTGTTTTTGTTTTTTGTTGGTTTTATACCTGTATAGTCATATCATTTACTGTTTGACTGACATTACTGTTTGGTTGGCTCACTTGACTGAAAGTTGAACATGACTGACTGACTGAGTCAGTCATTGATTGGTTGACTGGACTGACAGGTGAATATGACTGACTGATTGAAGTTATTATTGATTGGTTGACTTGACTGTGACTGATAAACATGACTGACTGAAATTACTGATTGGTTGACTCACTTGACTGACTGGTGAATAATTACTTTCAGTACCTGTCAGTTGGTATAATAACTCCCAGCTGTTTTTTACATACACTCTTGTAGCAGCTGCTTTGGACACAAAATCTGCAATAAGATCTGATATATGAGACATTGCAGAACCAAACCCATCATATTTTGAGTGTTTGTGGTTTCGTTAGGCAATTTTACATTCCATAGTTTGCCATTGCTCACTGAATGGTCAGCTCTCAGTACCACTGTCCGAACCAATGCAAAGTGGTCTACTGCCTGCAGCTGGAATCGAACACAACATCCAGGAATTACATAGCATGTTTACAAGGCCTAAGCCACAGACACCATCTGTCCGGTATAGAGTTCAGATGAAAGCAACCAACAGATTCACCAAACAGCATGAATGTTAATTGAGCTTACATCACTGACTGCTAGTTTTTATTTAAAATCTGTTCGTTGCAATTTATAATTTCTGTAGGTGTGGTTTGTGTCTTTTTGTGTATGCTTTGTTTCTTTTATTTATGGTATGCTTCATTTGACCAAACAGGGAGATGTGAAAGTACTGGCATTGAAATGCCTGCAGAAAATGTTGCAGAAATTTCCGAAACATTTTGAGAACTTTGCCGAACTGACAATTCTTAAAGTGTTGGAGCTGCATAAGGATGACACCTACAGAGATGTAAGTATTTGATTTACATAGACAGATACATCTGTAAGTATCCAAACTTATCCTTACAAAGATGTAAGAATCATGGTTACATATTTCCATTTCAAGATGTAGCTACCTAAATTGTAAAGATGTTGGTGTTCACATGTGCGTATCGGTGAGTGGAGACTGAAGGTATTTGAAGTGTAAATATTTCCTGTGTGGGTTTCAGGGCCCTGTTGAGGGGGGGGGGGGGGGGGGGGGGAATTAGACCCACTGTCCATTAACAACTATTTTGTAAAAGTAAAAGGGCAACTAATTAAGGTTTTACTTGAAATTGGAAGCATTGGACCAAAAGCCACAGATATTGCAGCCTAGCTGTAAGCCACAACACAAAATGCCAATTTTCCTGTTAACATTAAGCAAACAGAAGTATATTCTGTAGAGATGTAAGTATCTAGACAGGGATGTAAGTAGTGGATGGGTGAGATCGAGAGAGTAGATATTGATGTTTAGTGGCTGACACAGGTTGCCACTAACACCATTGATTTAAGAGCAGGTATATGTGGCTCGTTTGTCTAGCAAGGGTTTCGGCAGTGGCACAGAGAGATGGCCGTTCAGAAAGCAATTGCAAACTACTGAACATATCATTCGCCTAGAAAATAACACAACAGGCAAGAAAAATGATTGTGCTGGTTCTGCAACGTCCTGTAAAGGATATGTAACTAACTTTTTGCACGCTCGCCGCGGATCGGAAGTTAGTTGGTTCACTCCCTGACAGAGCTTGACTTTTTTTTTTTTAATGACCTTGACTAGAGTGGGTACAGGGTGCAATCCCGGGAAGTATGCTGGCCACATCACCCATCTTGTGCTGATGTCTATAAAATATAGGTCTAGCCCTATATGCCCTATACGCCTAAAGGCGTAGAAAAGGGTCCTTTACTTTGCTATATACGGTTCAGATTTCCCCAAAAATAAAGTCTTTTCAGTGATGCCATCCAGGCTGATGGTAGCTAGACTTTAAGAGGGCAGTAATAGAAACAGGTCACCTGAGATAAATTGAGACTCGGTAATGTAGTGGCTAGATACTTGCCTACCGGCTCAAAGTTTATGTTCTTCTTCTTCTTCTTCTTCTTTGTTCAACAATTGTAAGCTCCGGTGGAAAGTCCTGGTTGTTTGTCCACTAGGACTTCAGTTTTATGCCAGGGCCTGAGTTTTGCGTGTACATCCGTTTCACTGGCTTATTCGGGTGAAGCTGGTTGTTCCTTGCCTCTCGGACTGATATACTCCAACTTTGAAGGAAGCCCCCCAAATGGTCGGCTGTTAAGACGTGCTTGTTGGGGAGGCAGTGGGTATATTCTTGTTGGCTGAGAGCACCTAAATACTGAAAAGTTTCATGTGTAAAAAGTATTATCTGTCAGCTGAATACAACTAAGGACTGTATCAGTGACAGTGATGAAGTATATAATAATGCATTCATCTAAAAAAAAAAGTTTGTTGCGTATCCTCTATAGGACGTTGCAGTCCAAACCCCAGCGTTTTTTTGTGTGGCTGTTGTGGTTTATCTAGGCAAATTTGTATTCAGTAGTTTGCCAATGCTTTCTGGACAGTCGGCTTCTCGATACCAGAGTCAAACCAATGCAAGGTGCAATGTCCTCAGCTGGGATTGACCCCGGCATCACAAAGTGGGTTCGCAATGCCCATGCCACAGACGCCGACACATAAATCTAAACCTGCAGCTAATTTATGTTTCTGTCATTCTCTAATGTTTTGTTTTTACAAAATTCATTTGCCTTTTTTTTAAATTTTTTGTGCCAGTTTGGTTATGTAGCTAATATCACCATTTAAAAATTAGATTGTAGTTTTTCTGAACTGTTTTTTTTTTGGAAGTTAGTTTGTGTTGCTACTTTTGCAAAAAATTTTCTCCCTGCTCTGTAGGTTTAAGGTTTTTAATTTAGTTTTTAATTTTTAGCAACTTTTTTTTTAATGTTTAGCACCCTCACTGCCCTTTTTTAAATTGTTTCTCTATCTGTTTTTCCCATTCCATTTTGATTTTATGTTAACCTTCTAACAAGTCTGTGTGAGTGTACATTACTTTATGTCCCTGTTGAAAAAAAAAAAAAAGTATTATTAGCTTTCTCCATTTTTATTATTGTAAAATTTTCTGAATAAATAGCAAAATGGAAGCCTTTGACCATTTTATTTCGAAGATAGGCACACCATTCACACATATGTGCACAGACACACATATTTACACACACACACACACAGACACTACATACATCGACACAAACACCATACAAACACTGATACAAACCCCATACATACACCCAGACAAACCCCATACATACACCCAGACAAACACTGTGCACCCACTAGACAGACAGAGACACACAAACACCACACAGACAAGTTGCCAAGTGAAGAAGTGAAAACTGATGTCCCTCATTTGAAGCTGAGACTAGTCAGGTGGCAGATAAATATTATTGGCCTGTCGCTGTCAAAGCAAAGCACCCTTTTTAATGCAGTGAGACTACATGTTATGGAATTTTCTGTTTCTGTAGGGTAGTATTTTGTATCTTGTGTATAATATTAGAGAGAAGGATCTGACTGAGTGGATAGAATACTCAGCTCTCATTCAGCAGAACTAGGTTTTACACTGGAAGTTAACATAAAAAATGTCTGCCGAGGGCACAAAACAAAATTCTAACCTGCACAGTTCATGGTGTTGTATTTGCCATATAACCCTAAATACTCCGGATGAAGTCCACCCTTCACATCTGCCCTTCGCCACACTACAGGTGGTAAAGTAAGGACAGTATATCATCCAGCTAATAAAGGTGGAATGGCAGTATGTTGCAGATGAGTCCAGTCCATATTTTGGGCAACCCATAATTTGTGTTTGTAAAAATGGAAGATAGCTGCTGATGTTGAAATGAAACATAACATTCTCAGTGTCTTCAGCTACGATCTGCTATGTTTCTGTATTTAGTTTATGTGAATTGAACTCTCTTTCTGTCGCAGCCATGGCTGAGCATTGCCGTAAGCTGAACACCCCAAACACATACACCAACCATCCAGTTATCTTTTGTACTTCACACATTGCATCTTTCATTATTGTTACTATTACAGTAACCGTACTACCTGCAGCATATTTTCTGTCTGCCTTTTATTTATTTTAATAATCATAGGAGATCTTTTTTTTTTTTTTTTTTTGAACTTTTAAAAATATATAAATAGTTTGGCAAAGTTCTGAGGCAGTTACTTGGTCGTTATAACATTGCTAATTACATCATTTGTTGGGAAGTTAACACCCAAATAGTTTACCTTTGTTTCATGTACCTGACATTTAACCATTAGTTTATGTGATGTATAGTTCACATTTTATGTCATCTGTATTAGTATAGAATTTTGGAAAGAGATTAACAAATCATAATTTTAATTTAAGTCTGTTTCATTGCTTGCCAGGCATTTTTTTCTCCTTAGTTTATTTGTTTTATTAAAGCATACCTACAGCCAGAAGTTTTTAATTAACTCCTTTAAATAATATTCTTGTAAGATTTGCAGTCATTTTTGTTTTGTTATGATTTGCTCCAGTAAATATCTATTTTAATTCTAATTATTTTGGAGATTTGCTGTTTATGTTTAGATGTGTATGTGTGTGCATGTGTGCTGTGGTAAATTTTCATTTCATTTGTTTCTAGTTTGTGCATTTATGCTGATCCTATTTTGTTTCCTTTACCTCTTTACATTTTATTGTTTTTCTGGGTGGGGGGTGGGGGGGGGGGGGGGGTGAATTTTCCAAATCACATTTACAGGTCCCAATTTTTTTTTATTATTGTATTTTGGGGTGGGAGGGGAGGGGGGGGGGGGGTGTCAGTCACTGTTATCTTTTTATTTACTTGTGTTTTGAATTTTAGATATAGAACTTGTCTCCTACCTTACTAACGTGTTAGTCCAGTCTCCCATTTTTGGGGGACAAAAATAGATCACTGCCTTCTTGTTTATTAGGGGCTTGCTGGACCCAGAGGTACAGATATGGAGTTGTAAACCCACACAACATGCCAACCACCACAGATATGGAGTTGTAAACCCACACAACATGCCAACCACCACAGATATGGAGTTGTAAACCCACACAACATGCCAACCACCACAGATATGGAGTTGTAAACCCACACAACATGCCAACCACCACAGATATGGAGTTGTAAACCCACACAACATGCCAACCACCACAGATATGGAGTTGTAAACCCACACAACATGCCAACCACCACAGATATGGAGTTGTAAACCCACACAACATGCCAACCACCACAGATATGGAGTTGTAAACCCACACAACATGCCAACCATCACAGATATGGAGTTGTAAACCCACACAACATGCCAACCACCACAGATATGGAGTTGTAAACCCACACAACATGCCAGCCACCACAGATATGGAGTTGTAAACCCACACAACATGCCAACCACCACAGATATGGAGTTGTAAACCCACACAACATGCCAACCACCCTTTTGAGAGCAAGTGCTAAAGAAGAAGAAGAAAAAAAGTCTATAGCTTCAGTCCAAAATACTGTAGTTAATATTTTCTGTCATTTAGAAATGGGTGCTTTTTCCAGATTTCCACAGTTTTAGCATGCCAAGGTTGTTTTATTCATACAGACAGTGAAGACACTGAGCCTTTTGTTTTTCAGTTGTTAAAATAAAATAAGTCTGTAAATGTTAGTGCTTTCATAAAACAAAATGTGACCTATTAAAGCTAATTTAGTAAATATTACAATATGTAGGCTAAGCATTTCAAAGGTAAGATAATTTAATAAAGTTTTCCATTTTATACTAAACATTTTAGTATTTTAACCAGCATTATTTAGACAGTTTTTTTAATTTGGGGGCAGTGTTTCAGCATATTAAGTACATTTAAATAAAAATCACATTCGTAGAAAGATCCCCCTCCTGCCCCTTACAACTTTTTAAAGACAGTATTCACATCTCTATACAAAATAGTTTAGTGTTTTGCTACT